GGTCCAGAGAGCTGCCTTAGACTCTCCAGTGAATCTATTCAAACAGCTGCCTCTGTTACCTTGACTCATCTCATTTTGTTGACCCAAGATGAGTCCTGTCACTAGGAATGCAAGGCTGGCTCCATTATTTTGACTTGCTCCAGGTTAGGGAGACGCTTATGCAAGCCTCCCATTGACCATATATTTTATTTCTAGCTTTGATGCCTGGGAACCAATTTTCCTAGGTTTAAATACTTGCTCAGTGTTAAGGCAGTGCTGTGGAAATTTGTCGGTGTAACTGGAATGCTATGCAGGCCTATGTGTGTGACTGTCGTGCAGACCTGTCTGACCATTTTCTTTACTGAGACTGATAATGGTCATTCCACCCAATGGGCCAAACTACATGCAATGGTAATGGCCATGCAGGCCTTTCTGCCACCTCTTGCTACATTTTTACCAACTCATGGGCCATTGCCAACAGTCTAGCTATCTGATCAGGAAAATAGCAATGCAACTGAGTGACTGGACTATTAAAGCATCCCCTCTGTGGAGAAAAGGACTATGGTAGCAGCTTGCCACCTGTAAGAGACAAATATCTCACTCAACTGGATGCTGGGACTCCCATGACCACCCTTGAGATGAACTTATGTCATGTTTTTGGATGCCCACTGAGATTTCACTCTGACCAAGGAAAGTTCTTTACTGCTCAAGCCACATGTCAACAGACACACTCTCATGGGATATGATGGACTTTCCATATACCTTGTCATCCAAAGGCCAATGGATCTATTTAATGCTAGAAGAGCTGACTCACTCACAAAGCAACTGAAGAGTGTACATCAAGACAATCTGTTAATAGGGTGATACCCCATCTGACTATGGCAATTGGACATTAAATGCTGCATTGCAGAGCAAGGGAAACCTGGCATGGATGTGCAGGTTGAAAAATCCTGAGCTGAGTACGGAAGAAGTTGGACCAGACCAGGCGCCTGATTGGGCTGCCACTGTGAAATTCCAAACTCAATGTTTCCAATCATTTTTTTTCCTTTTATAGCGCATGTTCTTGGGGGTGTTGCAGTCTAGGCCACCATACTAACCCAGACAGGCCTCCTAACTCTAATGTGGATGGAATGATTCCCCTGTGTGCCTTCTGTGGTTTCCACAGGATCAAGAAATACCAGGGTGTTAGGGTACTTCTGCTGGTACAGGGGACATCTGATTTCTCCATTAGGGTGGGTGACATTATCAGACATGTCAAGTTTTTACAGTACATGACCTCCCTTCTAGAACTGGACAACCGAGGCTGAAGGGACTGGGTCAAGCAACAAGAGTAATGGGTGCCCAAAGAGGTTGTACTCTTGAACAGGGACAGACAGATTGAGTCCCTCCACTAACTCAGCCCAACCCCTGTGGATGGGTAGAGGATGCCTGAGATCCTGGGGTGGGTGGGAGATGGGGCACTGACCTGTCAATCTGCTTTTCCTGCAAGGACTAGGCAGCAGAGACCCAGAAGCTTCACGTCTTTGTTAGGCTCTTCCAAGCTTCACGTCTTTGTTAGGCTCTTCCAAGCCACCACAGATAATTTGACATAACACTGTATCTGCATCCCAGACCTCACCCTGTCACTGACTGAAGTGGTTCTTTCATCCTACTAATGGTAAACTACACCAGCTATATAGGATAAAAAGACTTCTGGAGATTCATGTTACTGATGGTAGATAACAATGCAAATTACTTAATGCCACTGAACTGTGCACTCAATAATGACTAAGATGGCCAATTTTGTGTTTTCTGTATTTTACCATATTTAAAAATTGTGACATCTATAATATTGTTGCCTCCTAAGAAATTGTACTATTTTCTAATTGTCTGAGAAAATGTAAATAAATAAACAATCACTTTGGGATGCCATTTTTCATACCATGTTTTGACAAACAATAGTTTTCTAATGTTTACTTTTAGGGTTGAAATTAGAATTCTTTTTTTCTGACTCCTAAGTCAAATGGTATTTTGCTCCAAGTACATTGCCTTATGAAGTAGGAAAATAATAAATATCGAGAATGATTATTACTACTATTAAAACTCCCTTTACATCTCCTATTACCATCCTAAATATTGCAGCTTAGTTAAAGTCTTTGAAAAGTGGCTTGGATAGTATTGATTCTGTCCTCAAACTCCTGAAACACGACAATGACAGAGACCTAGCAAGAAAATGCTAAGAAAAACATAGTTTTTATGACCATTAGCTGTTCTGGTCACTGTTTTCGGTGAATTGAGTAATTTTTTAAAAAGTAATTGAAATGTGGGAACTTTCATACACTCTTAGTGGAAGTGTAAAATGGTATGACAGCTTTGGAAAACAGTTTGGCAGAGTCTTAAACACCTGTTGTAGTCAACCGCCCTCTTCCAACGAATGTAGAATTTTCTGTTCTTTACTGGCACGACTTACGTAAGTAGTGATTACAAGTCTGGAGTTCCAACTGCGGATGTGCTCTCCAACACTCGGTGTATGTAAAGAAGATAAATAATATTAACAAAGGTTAGGCAACTATGAATTTTGAAAAGCTATTTGACAAAGAATTCATACTTCCTTCTCTCCAAAATTACCTGATGATTCATGCAGGAGTGAGCCTGGTTTGATGCCTCTCTTCTTAAGATGATAGAAGAGAGGCACCTCCTGAAATTGGTGAAACCCTGCTCCCTGCACCTATAACCACAACTCGGTCCCCTTCGTCCTTTGATCTAGTCCTTGATTCTGTGTCTCAGTCCCACCTAATCTGTGACTCAAACAACATTTGTCAGGAAAGATTCGGGATAGACTTCTCAAGACTCCCTAGAGGTGTCAGAGATTCCTCGACCATCATCTGTTCACCTCTAGAGGGAGCTGTGGATACGAAGAAAAGCAGAGCTTATAAATCTTCTAGCTGTACTCCACAAAAACTACAAAAATCACAACAACAACAAGAACCGTAACAACATCCACAACACCACAGGACAAGCCTCCACTGTTTCCAATGCTTTCATTTCAGTAAATCTTCTCTGCCTTTATCTCAAGCGGCTAGGCATTTTGATAGTCATGGGAATAGTATTGTAGCCTTCTGTTCATAACAGGAAAAGTAGGGAAGTCTTTGGGCAATGCAGGACTTCCTTAAGTCAGTCACTCTTCAATATTTGGATCATCATTTCACACATATACACAGCAGGTTTCTAACATGTATCTAGAAATCTATGAAGTAATATGTACTATTAATCCATATGACAGAGCCTGTGTTTTCTATTGTATTGTATTTCCCTGGGTGCTTCTGTCATTATTTTATTTTATTTTAGCTTTTGTCATTAAAACTAGAGTATTTAAAATTTAAATTTTAAATTTTAACTCAAAAATTAGCACATTCATGACACTCTAATTTCTTAGAACCTAAATAGATAAAATCCTCTATTTTATAAGAAAGTACCCTAATGAATATGCTTATTTCTGAGACAATTTGCAAAATTTCAAGACAACAAGCCTGAAGAAATTATTCTGAAACAGGCTTCCAAGTAATGATGGTAGTTTTTCCTCATTGTGAGTCATGGGACAAGAATTAGACAAAAAGATAACAAAGCAGAATAAGGATTACATAAGAAAGAAGGACAACAATAGGACATGTTAACCTTTTATAGGATAAAGTTTTAGTAATATTTGATGAGAAGAAATGCATTGAACAGAACTTGGTGGAGCTGACTGAAGACCTGACTAACTTATTGTTTTAAGACCAAATAATTAGAATTTTGAGAGTTGCAACCAGATGAATGGAAGAAAGGCTGTAGAACCAAGGCTGTGGTTGAAACACATTTGATTAACTTCGAGAATATTTTCCATGCACGTCTGTTAAGGATGATAATTATAATGCTAAATATTTTAACAATCCCAACAACAAAATTAACAACAGTGTACATACTGTCCTAAATAACGTTGTAAATGCTTTATATTATTTAAGCTGTACATAGCACTGTAAGGTATATCCTACTATTGTCATCATTTCACAGATAAAGAAACTGAGGTAAAGGGAGGTTATGTAACTTGATCAATTTTAAGCAATCCATGAGCAATGGAGCTTCCTCACCAGCCCAGAGAGTACTTCAGGGCCTGCCATGGTAACTTCTGGACTATTGGAGGGAAAATAAACCTAGCTAAGGATGAAGCTCCAATTCCTGAATGAATGATGATTACCTCTGAACTTGCTTTCACCTGACATGGGAAAGTAAATGATTTTTAACAGCTTTAGGAAAACAGCAGAATTTTTGTGAATTTGAATCAGTACTATGAACAGAGGAATTTTTAAAAATTGTTAATTTGAAGAGGCTCTGAGTCTAGGTTGATGAATGTGTTGTTCAGAATAGCGTGGTGGATAGATTAGAGGATCACAAAAGGAATAGTTCTTTGCCTGCATGGACAGAACCATCTTCTGTCTTTAGGGAAATGGTATCACTACCCTGAGGGTTTGGAGCCCAGGTCTCACTTACCTGTGCCATTGTGAAAGTCCTCGCACCCACAGTGCTGAGGTTAATTGAATGTTACTCTTTTAATTCCTGAAAAGAATGAGACAGCTTCTGGACCCTCAGAAAAGATCACTAACAGGTAAATACAAGTATATCCGGAAGATAAAGTTGTAATAGACTCTTCTTTTCAACCTGATCCATCATGCAATTAGGGAGTTGACTAGGTACAGTTGGAGAACAAAGAGAAAAATGAAACCACAGCCTTGTATTTTGTTTCTAACAGACTTGTGCCAAACATTCTGTGGCTGAATCTAGGTGATGGCGAGACAAGAGAACACAGGGGTTAAATTCTTTGGCCACAGGGGAGAAGTTCTAGCCTCAGGCTGAGCCAACCGCCTTTTCTGGCCTGATCACCTGGGCATGGGCTGCTGACTGCAGAGAGGGGAGGCAGATGGTCTCAGCAGCCGGAAGCCCAGCACCCGCCCCAGCTGCTTTGCATGTCCCTCCCAGCCGCCCTGCAGTCCAGAGCCCATATCAATGCCTGGGTCAGAGCTCTGGAGAGGAACTGCTCAGTTAGGACCCAGAGAGAACCATGGAAATCCCAGCTCAGCTTCTCTTCCTCCTGCTAGTCTGGCTCCCAGGTGAGGGGAGCATGGGATGGTTTTGCATGTCAGTGAAAACCCTTTCAAGTTTGTGGGGTCCTATTACGTGGCAACTCTGCTCAGTCAAAGCAATAGTTAAAGCTCAATATGAAGCAATAATTCTGGCTCTACTAGGAAGACAGCGGGTTTGATCTAAATTACACTGGGTGACTTTTCTGTTTTCTTTCCAATCTCAGATACCACCGGAGAAATTGTGTTGACGCAGTCTCCAGCCACCCTGTCTTTGTCTCCAGGGGAAACAGCCACCCTCTCCTGCAGGGCCAGTCAGAGTGTTGGCAGCAGCTTAGCCTGGTACCAGCAGAAACCTGGCCAGGTTCCCAGGCTCCTCATCTATGGTGCATCCAGCAGGGCCACTGGCATCCCAGACAGGTTCAGTGGCAGCGGGTCTGGGACAGAGTTCACCCTCACCATCAGCAGCCTGCAGCCTGAAGATTTTGCAGTGTATTACTGTCAGAAGTATAGTAGCTCCCCTCCCACAGTGATTCAACTTGAAACAAAAACCTCTGCAAGACCTTCATTGTTTACTAGATTATACAAGCTGCTTCCTTTACAGATAGCTGCTGCAATGACAACTCAATTTTAGCATCTCTTCTCTGCCTGGGCATTTTGAGGATCTGAAAAAAAGTAATCCCTTGATGTATTTAGACTCTGATTCCTGCATTTTTCCTCAGATCAAGATGGACAGCCAGGTTTAAACACAGTTTCACAGTAATGGCCACTGGATCAGATTTACATCAGTGGACATCAATAAGTGTCCCAACCAGAGCCATAAGGCAACAAAAATAGCAACAAAAATAATCAAAATTGGAAAAGAAGAATTAAAGCTGTTATAATTCACTGATGAGGGATTGTGTGCAGATAAAATTCAAATTTGTCTACAGAGAAACTATTAAAATTGATACGAGAAATAGAAAATCATTAGATTCAAGATCAACTTATTAATTCATAGATTCAAAAATCAATTTTATTTCTGTATAACTGAAAAACATGCTAAAAATTAACATTATAAAACAAACACACCATTTACAAAAACATCAAAGTATCAATTATTTAGAAAAAGCAGACTAAAAATACACTGATGTCTCCAGAATATTATTTTGAAAAATAAAAGAAAACCTAAATAAATAGAAATTCATATTATGCTCAAAGACTGAATGTCTCAGTATTATAAAAATGTCAGTTCTTCAAAGATTAAAACATTTATTATGTATAAGAAAAATCAAAATCCTAAAGTATACTCAAATTTATATTAAGAAGCTAATCTAAATATTATGTGGGAATGTCAAGGGTGTAGAATAGCCACAGTGAACCTGAAGAAACACCAAAATGAGAACTTACAGTGCCTGAATGCCTGGAATATAGTGTGGGTGACAGTATGGTGATGGTGAGATCAGAAGTTTAAAAATTTGCTAACATGTGTATTTTTGGAAATAATTACTATGCACATATAGCCAAACCCTCTTCAACTGTGCCACCAGAATCTCACATTTCCAGAATTAGTTTCTCACAGTGTGATTCTTAACATGGCATCAATAATTCTCAGTCTCCCCAGTAAACGCAACTCAGTGCATGGTGCAGCTATCCATTTGATTTCTACAATATTGTAAATGGTAGAAAATTATATTTATTTATCCAACAGTTGACTCAGTAAGAGCTGTTCATTCGCAGAGAAGTACCCTGTTTTAATAAATTCCAAAGCTAAGAAAGTCAGTGAATGACCAAGTAGGAAGAGTGATAGGAACAGCTGTCTTAGCTTTGTCCAAGGCTTCCTTCCAAAAGGGATTTCACTGGTCACTTTCATTTATCACCACCAGTAATTTATTATAATTTATTGTAAGGTAGTTCACTGAATATTATATGAAAGTGAAAAACAGAGTAGTTGTACCAGTACTGGAAGCACTGTTTCTACTGAATACCAGTTTTTCACACTACTGTAAAGTCAAAACATCTTAAGTCCAACCACCATGAATTAGGGACTTACTGTAAGTTCAGGGAAGTAACTATAAAGAAACTCACAAATTTTAAGAAAAATAGAATATATTCCTGATAGAGGTACAGGAATATATTATCTAAAATGTACAGTTTTTCATAAAAAAAAAAATCCTGCGAAGAAACAGAAAAGTATGATCAATATTGAGGGAGCAAAACAAAACAACTATAGCAAGAAAACACAGTCAATGAAAGCTGATTCTGACTTGTCCTAAATATCAGCTTTAGCAAAGACTACAAAGCAGTTATTACATAGATGTTTAAATAATTATTCTTAAAACTATGATCACATAGTTTTAAAGACATAAAGAGGTATAAAGACAATGACTCAGCAAATGGAAACTCTTAAAAAATAGAAACTATGGAAAAGAATCAAGCGGGAATTCTAGAAACAAAAAGTACAATAACTCAACTGAAAAATATATTAGATAAGTCCAACATCAGTTTAAGATGGCAAAAGATTCAGTGAACTTAAAAATAGATATACTGAAATTATTGAACCTAAATACAGAAAGGGGTTTAAGAAAAAATGTACAGGACTTGACAGAATTATAGCTCATGTTGGAAGATACCAACAAGTGTGTAAAGGGAGTCACAAAGAAAACAGAGAGAGAGAAAGTGATCAAAAAATACTTGGAATAGTAATGACAACAGCTTTTTAAAAATAATGAACCACAAAGGTAATTTAATCTATAGATGAAAGAAATTCAGTGAAATCCTTTTAGGATATAACATGAGATTAATAACAAAATACATTATACTTAAAAATGTTGGAAGACAAAGAGAAATTCATGAATGTGTCAGGACTAAAAGCTATCTCTACATATGACACAATAATGCCATTGGTTAAGTTTTCATTAGGACTGAGGGAGGCTGGAAGACATTGGAATGACATATTTAAATACTAAAAGGAAATAAAAGAGGACAACCAGCAATTTTGTTTCTGGTGAAAATATTCTTCAGAACTGAAAATATTCCTTGATAAACAGAATAAATTCATTAATAGCAGCTATGCCTTATAAGAAATTCAAGAGGAAATGAGATGGTGCCTGACATGAGACTGTAAGAAATAAAATAGAAGCCTATGGTCCCATTGTGCTCCTTCTACCCCACATGTGCGTGGTTGTCTGTCTCTCTTGATGCATGGCAGAATCTGGTTGAAATGAGAGTTGATCAGAACTTTATCTTCTAAGTATGGTTTTCACTTCCTGCTTAGTGATCTCTCCTGAGGGTCCTGAAGCATCCTCAAAGAGTAACACTCAAGTAACCCCAGCACTGCAGGTGCAAGGATGTCACAATTGCACAGATGAGCAGGACTCAGACTCTGACCCCTCAGAGTACCGATATCCACTTCCTGAAGACAGACAATGGTGCTGTCCAAGCAGGCAGGTAGCAACTCCTTGAGTGATTTTTAAACTTCCATACCACTCATTCTGCACAATGTTTTCATCAACCCAGACTCAGGACCTCTTCTCCTTAATAGTTTTGAAAAACTCTGTTCATGTTGCTGAATCTCATTTACTATAAATCTGTTCCTTTGCTCCAAGTAGTTAAACTATTTTGCTTTCCCAGTCTTTCTCTAAGTCTCAAGGAAGCAGTTTTATTAATGGTACTCCAAATTCCAATGGAATATTCATCCATTCTGGAATTAGAGCTTCATGCACAGCCAGAAAACACCCATGCAACAGTCCACATCTTATCTTGGCAGGCCCTGAAGTCAAACCTTTGGGGTTGCAGAGAGAACTTTAATGCTTACAGTTTGTATGGCATTAGTAAAGTTACTTAATCTTCCGTTGCCTCAGGTTCCATATCTGCGATACTGTGACAATAATAGGTTCTACCTTATAGATCTATTTACAGTTTAAACATGGTAAAGCACTTAGAACAGTATCCAACATATAATACATGGTTCTATAAATTTTGATGGTCTTATTGCTGTAATACTTAACACCATAATAATCATCATTTTCATAACTCGACTAACTTTACAGAAACTTATGGGTAAAAGTATTAAATTCAGTTCAAGTTCATTTCATCTACAGCCCATTAGATGATAGAATGGGGTGTTTCACTACAACTAATAACTAGCTAACAATTCTTAAACTCCTAGTGATTTGGTATTGATCGATGCTAACATGCTCAGACCTTTAATCATGCCCACCCGTATCTGTCCAATGCCTTTCTTCTCAGCATCCATTATCAAAATGTTATCCCGTGAAAGATTCAAATATCGTATTGCTGTCGCTTTTTTTTTTTTTTTTTTTTTTGAGACCGAGTCTTGCTCTCTCGCCCAGGCAGGAGTGCAGTGGTGTGATCTCGGCTCACTGCAAGCTCCACCTCCTGGGTTCACATCATTCTTCTGCCTGCCTCAGCCTCCCGAGTAGCTGGGACTACAGGCGCCCACCACCACACCCAGCTAATTTTTTGTATTTTTAGTAGAGATGGGGTTTCACCGTATTAGCCAGGATGGTCTGTATCTCCTGACTTTGTGATCCTCCTGCCTCGACCGCCCAAAGTGCTGGGATTACAGACGTGAGGCACCACGCCCAGCCACTGTCGCTCTTTTTAATGTAATCCTTATTCCATCTTTTACATCTTTTCTCTATCTAATATTTGTGCAGTAACTCACAACTTAATCTCAAGTTTTTTTTGACATGCTTCTATGCTAATAATGTAGTTTATTCAATGTAGTTTATTCTCTTATTTGCTGAATTGCTGTGAAAACAAACTATTTTAAGCTCAGGCCCTTCTAAGACCTCAGACCTACAGGGCGCACACACACACATACACACACACACACACACACACACAAAGAGCTAAGTGAAAATGTATGAATAAGAGTGATTTGGTAAACTGAAGTGTCACTTCGCCTTTTTAAAAAGCCATCTATTTTTTCAGGCAAGAGTTTTCAAGTTGTGTACATTTGATTTTTAAAAATAAGCCATGTGTGACTTTATCAAACATTTTTCTTCTAAAGCCTTTTTTCTCCAAAAGCCAAGGACATGTTAACTATATCCTGTAAAGTCTGATTGAGTCTTCTCTGATATTTTCTCTATGTATATCCCAAAGTCTCTATTTTATTCTAATTTTTTTTTACCTTTCACAATCATCCAAAGTCACAATTCCATTCATTAGTCAACTACATCATAAATGGAAAAATTGGAAAAGTACCTGTTTTTAGAAATGATTGTCAGGCATATGTAATCACACCTTCTTTAACTGAAGGACCTGAATCTCATATTTCCAGAAATAGTGTCTGAACTATATACATCCAGATATGGCACAGATGGTGCCTCAGTCTCCTCAGGAGAAGTAGCTCAGTGTAAGCTATACCTGTCCATTTGATGTCTACAAAATTCTACATGTAGAAAATTCTATTTATTTATCGAAATTGTTGAGTTTTTAACAACTGTACACTTGTAGATAATATCATGTTTTAATAATTGCCTCTTTTGCTATCTCCAGGCTACCAACACTTCAGTGGCAGATGGCAGAAATATTTGCCATTTAAAAGTGAACTGGTTTATTTATTGCCAGGTTTGTTGCCTCACGGCTATAATCCCAGCACTTTGGGAGACTGACATAGGAGGATCACTTGCATCCAAGAGCTCAAGACCATCTTGGGCAGCATAGCAAAACCACACCTCAACAAAAAATAAAAAATATGGCCAGGCCTGGTGGCTTGTACCTGTGGTCACAGCTAGTTGGAAGGTTAAGGTGGGAGGATTGCTTGAACCCGGGTGGATGAAGCTGTGGTGAGCTGTGATCACACCACTGCACTCCAGTATGGGGAATGAAGTAAGACCCTGTCTCAAAAAAGTAAAAAAAAAAAAAATTCTTCAATATTCTCTATTGTGCAGTAAACTTTTAATGGTTTAAGTCTTAAAAACAAAAGTTAAAACAGGTTGAAACAGGAATAGATTATTCCTTTTAAAAAAAGTCAGCAAATGACCAAATATGAAGAGTGATTGAAGCAGTTGTCTTAGCTTTGTTTAAAACTTCCTTCCCAAAAACTGTTTCTGCTTATATTCACTAATCATTACCAACAATAAAACATGTTGACATTATATAGCTTCTGATATGATGCATTGAGGATACATCCCATCTGTAATATTTTCTCTAAAAATGAAAGATGTGAATTTAATCAATATAAGATATCTGATAAAATCAGTTAAAGGAACATTCTCCAAAGTAATTGACCAGTACACTTCAAAAGTTTCAAGATCATGAAAGACAAATAAAACTGAGAAACTGGGAAATACTGAGGACAGAACAATTAAATAACTAATGAGATACTGGATTTTATCCTGGACCTAAAAAGGATATGACTGGAAAATCAGTGAAATCCAAATAGGATTGCAAATTACTTAACTAATAGCATTGTATCTATGTTAATTTTCTAGTTTTGATATTTATACTACAATATGCTTGATGTTGACATATGAAGAAGTTGAAGAAAGAGTATATGGGAATAATCTTTATGATAGTATTCAAATTTTAAGCCTAGAAGCATTTCAAAATTAATCAAAATATATAAATAAAAATAACTAAGAAAACAGCATGGATTCTTATTAAACAACTTCATAAAATTCATCATATTTTCCACCTTTCACTATCTGTGTTTCTCTTTTCTGTTATAGAGCACCCTGGTTCCCACTATATGGAGTATATTCACTTATTTACTCAATTCTAGAATATGCATAAGGTGTTTTAAAATTGATAGTGCATTCCTCTGAGAATGCAAAATCTAAGAATTAGAGTTCCATATTGTTAAGAGCTTTCTTTCTCTTTAAAAGTGAGGGTATTGAGTTCAAATTCTCAACTTCGAAATGGTTTATGTTTGTTCATACCGCCATTCTTTCAGTGTGGCAATTGTGTTCATTTAAATTTGGTTTAATGAAGATATCTCTGTTTATGGTGTCACAAAGAGTTAATTAAATCCTCCCAGCAAAAATAAACAACAAACATAAATATAAGTATAAAGCTAAAAAAAAGCTCAAAATATATCAGCACTCTGATAATTGACAAAACATTAAAAAAATGAGAACTGTGTACTTTTTATAAAAATGTCAGTACTGTGAGTAAGCACAGGAAAAGTCTGTGGATTTTGCCTAAGACTGCTCCTTTCCACCCCACTTCAGTCAGCATGAATTGCAGAACTAGAGTTTTGCTAATATATGGACGGCAGCAGAAACTAGCGCCTGAGATCAGACTTCAGTTGCAGGTAGCTGGTTCTAGAGCAAGATGCTTCAGCATTTCCAGCTAAATGTGATGGACTCTGTAGGAAATAAACAGAAAAAGCCCACGGCTTTGCCAGTCCAAGATTATGGCACTGGTTAGGGCAAGTGGTACACCACCTGAAAGTTAATAGAGGATTCCTGGAAATGACAGACTCATAGAATTGCTAAAACAATATCTACACTCATTTCTGGTGACTTAAGAGCTGCAGACATGAATAACAGGGATCTAAGTGGGCCCAGTGAAAAGTGAAAAGAGGGACATAAGGATTGGCTGCAGTTTGCCTGTGTTCCTTAAATCACACACAGACAGATTCACAGAAGGTATATTTATGAGCTCAAGTTACTTGAGCAAAATTTCTGCCCAAATCATTGGTGGCTACTACCAAGCTATGAAAATACATCGGCAGCTCTTAGAAATCCAAATTAAATATTGAAGTTCAGAGCAAAAAATGAGCAAATACATTAATAGGCAAATGCCAAAGAGGAATTTACATTCTTCTATATAAGTCCAGGCAAGGTACTAAAAATAAACTCAATGATGCTCAGAAAAACGAAATAGAATCCAGAGAGATGTTCAAGAGTAGTCTGTCTATAATGTGCAGTTTTAAATTAAAAAAAAAAAAATACTGCAAAGAACCAGAAAAGTGGGACCTATATGAAGCGAACAAAATAAGTCAACTATAAAATCAGTCTGCGGATCCTGCCACTGACTCATTTTAAATACTGGCTTTAGCAAAGATTTTAAAAGTTATTAAATAAATGTTCAAATTATTATTTTAAGACTTTGTTCCAAGACTTTAAAAGACAAATATAAAGACAATGACACAACAAGTAGGGACTTTCCATAGATAAATAGAAGCTATGACCATGGATCAAGTGGTAAATCTAGAAATGAAAAGTATAATAATCCTATTTTAAAATTCTCTAGCTATATCTAACAGCAGTTTAAGATTGCAGAAAAACTGGTGAAATAAAAACAACACTCAAAATTAATCCAAAGAAAGAAACAAATTTAAAGAAAAATGTTTAAGACCTCATAGATTTATAGATCAATCTGAAGAACACCAAAAATATGTAATGGGAATCACAAAGTTAAAGACAGAGAGAAAATATCTAAAAAAAAAAAAAAA